CCCTGCATAAATCTCACCTTGATAGACAGCACTATTTTTGAAAGATAATGCCAATTTTTCTGTGTTAAAGTCAATAAATAGCACAAAAAATATTTTGGATCTGGTCAAATCAATAACATCAACAACAATATTCAGAGATAAAAAACTGTCCATTTATAAACATAAAAAGTGGACTGCTGCTGTTATGCTTACACGCATTTCTATTCCAAAAAACAACTTTGCAAAAATGACTTAGCAGATTTCTGTGTTGAATGTGCCTCTTTTTAATGCAATATTTGCTTAGCTTGTAAATAAGAGATTTTATATCTTCTAACCTTCAGCCTATGTACACACACTGGCCCCTGACACTTGATAGGACTTCTTTCCATTTCATAGAACATTTCCAGGACAAAGCAGGTGAGACACAAAATCAAACCAGACCAGAAAAAAACCCCAGACAAATTAACCAACTCTCTCTCAGCCAAAATTATGCCCTCCAGCAATCCTCTGCAACTTTATGGGCTGTAAAGTATACATTACCAATATTTGGCTTTCACAGAGATACCCACTTTTTTACAATGCATAGACTCTAGAAATCTTGAAAACCTACTTGAAAGGCCCTTCTCCACATTTATTCCTCTGCCCATCATCTGAAATAGTAGTAGTAACCATGGTACCACTTTACAGCAACTGAACAGAACTGCCTGTCCACTACCAAAAAAAGCACTATTATACCCTGAAAAGACAGAAAACAGAGAGGCTAAAAAGATGCAGTGGTATTCTAGTTTTGTGGTTTTAGGATTTCTTATGAACAAAGTTCACTCAATTTACAAATTAAGAGGGTTTGGTTTGTTGTTTTTTTTTAAAATTTAATTATTATGGTTCTGTAAAGTTGGATAGAAATCCACAATTTAAGGTTCTAGATTTTTTCTGGCTTCATTATTGCCAAACATTCACCAAGCAAGGTCCACCAGGAAAATTTTAAAGAACAATCCTGCTGATGCACAAGGCACAACGCAATCTAAATTTCATAACTGCAGCACTGGAGTCAATACAGGCACAAAAAAAGTTTAGTATTTTTAAATCAGAAAAGTAGACACTCGCCTGCTGTTTCTAAAGTTCTATTTCAGGGCAATCATTTTTACCTTGCAGTGAAGCACTCCAAAGATGAACACTATCACATTTACCTTTCCCCTAAGTGAAGTTTGCTAACGTTTTGGTGTCTGGAGGTCAAGAGGGTTGGGATACAGGTGGTTATCTTTACCAAAGCAGACCATTACTACTAAGTCTGTTTTAATTTCATTTCTCTCTAAGAAGAAGAAAAAAAACCAACAAAAAACACACCCCACACCTATATCGATTCCTATAACATAAATCCTCAAGTTAAAGGACCCACTACACAATCCTACTGCAGCACCTGTCACCCATTTCACTGGAAGCCTGAAAACATCAAGTGCATTTCATAAAGCCTTATCATCTACAAGTATGTTTACAAGGAACAGTCAGTTTTTATCAAAAAGTACAATTCTGACAACAATAGAGAAGAGCTATAAAATACAAATCCTAAAAGCTCAAAATTAAGCAAAATAAATGCAAATGAAACATCTCAACTTTGTAAGCTTATGATTTTTGTGGGACCTAGTTCTCATGATGGCATGAGTCTTATGGATGTTAAAAGAAATTTAATTAAAAAGGGTAGCTAAAAGTGCTAAGCATTTGCAGATGGCATAAAGACTGAAGTCAGAGCAGTTGTTCAGGGTCAAATTCTACAAAAGCCCCCAAACCCAAACTCACATGGTTAAATATCATGCTTTTACTTTTAATAATCTGCTGTAATTTTCGTAATGAAGTTTACCAACAGTTGTCCTCCTCTGCTTTGCAACATAGCCATAAACAATAAAAGATAGTTTGCAGTTAACATAAAATTTTTGCAAAGTCATACCTGAAGCCAACTGTGAAGAGTTACAAAAGGATCTCATGATAATGAGTACACGGGATGATAAAGTGACATAAGAGCTTAACATAAAGATAGGCAAAATAATGCAGATGAGGGGAAAACCCCCAAAAGTAATAAATAGTACACACAAAACACTAGGTTCAAACAAGACACTACTACAGAGGAAAGATCTTGTGGACATTACGGGCAATTCGATGAAAACTTCAGCAAAATACTCAGCAGTTGATGGAGTATAAAGCAAGCAGAACATTTGGCAATATCAAAGGAAAACAGAAAGGAATTATGCTACTACATATAGTCATGGAGCATGTAACTATTGAGTGATAAATCAAGTTAGGATCCCCCCCATTTCAAAGAGACTACTGCAGAGCTAGAAAAGAGAGGGAGAACAGCAACAGCACCATCAGTGCTACAGAAAGGCTTACATATATGAAGAGGCAACAGCGAGGCTCTTGACAACAGAAAGAATATGACATTCATACAGACTGATGATGAGGACCACTAAATTTTGACTAGGAGGCAGGGGACACTCAGTGAATGACCAGTCAGGAAGCCATACAACAGACAGCTATCTTTGCATATGGCAAACAGCTAGAGCGTGAAGTTAAATGGCAGGTGATGTACTGAAGGTCAAAAATATGAACAAGTTTAAAATAAATTTTCAACCTGAAAATCAGATTATTTAATTAGTCATCAGAATCACCAATGGCTACTAAATTCAGTGGTTGAGAAGGAACATCCTCCTCAGAAAGCCTCTCAACCCTGGCGATTAACAGCTAGAGTCATGCGCCAGTGAAGGCACATACTCCTGCCCTCAGCTTACCCTTTTGCCTTCTCCACCTCGGGATGGCAGCTCCTTACAAGCAGTCTAGTCCTGCAGCCAGGGCTGGCTACAGATCCATAGGGACACGCTGATCCTCAAGCCCTCCCATGAGAAACTCAATACTTTCATCTCCTGTTTCAAACAAACAGATTTCGGAGATGGCAGACTCGTTCCACCTATCTTCAGGCACTCAAATGTGTCACTGACGACCAAAAACCACGATCTCCTTCATTGTCCTCATGCCAAAGGGCAGACAGGCACCTCCAAAGGACGATTCAGAACGTGAAGGCACAGCTTTATCTCCTGGGGCCACCATGAAGCCACTGACTTAACCGGACAGACACATGCCCACAAGGACCGACAGATCACACGAGTGACTGTGCCACCTGCTCTGCACTCCAGAGGGATGATTTACCAACTTGGGAAGGCAAGAAAACCCCTCACAGGAACACGTGTTTGTTCTCAGGCCTCGCTCCCTTGCCCTTCAGTGTTTGTGTCCTGCTCCTCAAGAGACTGGGGAGAGAAGGGGAGACAGAAAGAGAGCAGGAAACCAGAGAGAGAGAGAGGAAGGGGACTGGATCCCTCACATCCTACAGAAGTGCCCAACCACTTCCAGCTCCACAGGTGAGGTCCAGGAGATGGATTTAGTTCAAGGTATTGCTCTCCAGCTTCCCCCCTTGAGATGGATGTTGTGGCTTCTTACCACTTAGGACCTTTTACACCAAGGATTAAGCCACTGGCTTGTCCCTCGCTGGTGCTTCCACTTCAAAGAGCTGCTACTGTGAATACCAAAGCCTTTAAAAATGGCCTCACCACACAAAGTCATGAGCATTAAATGAGGTCTGTTAAAAAAAAAAAGGCAAAAATAAAAAAGCACTGGCTTTATAAACACATCAGTGAAGCCACTTTCAAAGCCTTTCATGCCTTCCGCACTGTGGCAAAGAAAATCCTAGGGTTTTTTTGGCTTCCCCCCACCGCCTTAAAATTATGGCAATAAAGCAATCGAGCCCCAAAGCGTGTCCCAGGATTAGCAGAGGGGGACTAAAATACACAAGGGAACTGTAAAAAAAAAAAATACACGTGAAAAGTTTTTAAATGCAAGTGCTAGAGCTCCAGGACAGCGGCGCGCCGTGCTGCCGGTGCATGTTCAGCATGCCAATAAGGACTGCAGCACTGCAATCCCTAGCACAGGCAGCCCACACACTGGCGTCCTCCTCCGCAAAAGCCACTCGCCAGCCGGAGGAGGTGTCCCAGGCCCCACCGCTTTTGGGCTGCGGGGCAAGGAGATGAGGTGGGAAAGCCAGCGTTGGTCTCCTCGCGGCAGTCGGAGGCTGTAGCTGGGGATGCTGTGTTACGGGTGAACACAGCCATGAGGGAAATCCCGTACGTGTTATCACAGCCTTTTAAATAAAAGCAGGGCAGTGCTAAAGTCCTGAACCATTAACCGGGCGCAGAGGTATGCTCCTGCCAGCGATGGGCCTGCCCATCCCACCAGAAGCACAGCCAGAGGTGTTTGCTGACAAACCAGTGCAGCTGTAGGCTTGAAATACGTATAGAGCTGCTGCTAACAGCACCGCAGACCGTCTGAAAAGGGGGAAGGAATACCCCCCCAAAAAAAAAGATAAAAATGGACTAAAACTGGGTTCTGATATCCTACAGGGCAGTCGTTTCTCCCACCTTGATGTCAGGAGGAGTCTCCCAGAGAGCTGCCGGAAGAGAACATTAAGGTGTAAACCCAACACGCTGAAACCCAGCACTGAAAGTCATCCTTCCGAGTGCTTGAAAATAAACAGAAGTCTTGCCACTTTGCAATTTACAGTTAGTTTTACACTAAGTTCAGTACACTGCCCATAATACCTATGAAGTGCAAAAATCATG